GTTGTCCCTAACAAAGTGGCCAATGAGGATATATAGTGTTACTGAGCAGTCATAATATCAACCACAGAGCTATAATTTATATCCTACAGATACCAAATTAGATGTAATATGAAACCTGACATTAAAATAATGTACAGCCATGCTTTTTTACGAACTGTAGCATTGCTGAGGCTAATTTCCAACCAGGTGCCAAAACCTCACTGTCATACTTCATTAGACAGAAGTCCTCCTTCAGAACTGTAGACGTTTAATTGCAGTACCAGATCTTACAGGACAGTCCCAGTGGTCAAAATATAGTCAAAGTTATTAAAATGATTGGCAAACAGCATTTTTTTTAAAAATGTGATCCCGTGATCGAGCATTAAAGACTCTAAAATGTTTTCAGCAAATAAAGGCAGCAACTGCCTGTAAGTAAAGCTGTTGGCTGTATGTTTTGGTGAAAAGGTTATTAAGAGTTGTTCTCTTCATGGGCTGTATCCACCGCTTTCACCCTCTCTTTGTCACGCACTGTGTATCTTCACTAAGAACTGTGAAGAGCAGCCCATCTCCCACGAGGTTATATTGTTCCTTGCTGTTCTCTGTGAGAATACTCTCATGTTTTCCTCTGGCTCCAGTAATTACCAGGTTCCTCCAGAAATTGGACATCTGGGAATTGTCGAAGGTCGTTTATGATGAGCTGGGAAACCTGTTCCATGTATTGATCGTTTACTGTCTCTCTTTCTCTCTCTGCCCACACCTTATGTATCTATCTTGACTTTTCTCCTCCATCCCTCTGGTGTATTAAGTCTTTCTGTCTTTGGTATTACTTCCCTTCACTCTGTAGGTGTTGTTGGTTGTTTATTACCGCAACACGTAGGTCAAGTATCACGTACAGACACAGACTTATGCAGTTTTACCCATGGCTATAGTTTTCTCTCACCCTATGTGATCTCTCTTCAGTGTTGAAGTTGCTGAAAATGGCAACGGGGATGAGAGCTCTTCTTGACACCGTGGTCCAAGCTCTGCCTCAGGTATGAGTCATCACGCACACACACACACACACACACACACACACCAGAGCTTATCTCAAGAGCACCCAGGAGTTAATTAACATTTGTGAAATGATAAATGACCAGAGTCGATAAACGCTCTCTGAGAATAAGAACTTTTAAAAAGTCAGGTTATTAGAAATATTTTAGCCCTTAATCTTATGACTTGGTAAATTTCCATGGCTGCTCTAATTTATTCAGGAATTTAAAAAAAACACAGACACACACCCGCAGCAATAAGTTAAGATTTCTTCTTTTTTTTTTCATTCTTACCGCCGTTAATGAGAACAGAGCAGCAAATGTGCTCTGCTCCCCTGTTGCACTGAAAGACTCTTGGTCTCAAGCCTTTGCTGATATTAATGGATGGTTTTGTGGAATCTGAGGGGACACACAGAAACTGTAGAGCGACTATTTTAGCTGGGGATGTTTAATAACTTATTAGGAGTTCAGTAATGTTCAGATATTTTACCAGCACCGTACTCCAGTCACACTCTGCTCTTTTGGGACTCAACACAGGTTTGTAATTTTGCTTCTAAACACCACCACAGTCAGTTCAAACTGAAATGATCTACATTTGCTTGAAGTGCAGACTTTAAGGTTTAATTCATGGCGTTTAACAAAACTACTTAACCCTGCAGGAATTACAGCAGGTTTTATACCCACACTCTCCCATTTTCAGAGGCTCAAACGTAAACGGACAAACTAAAGTCACTTTAGATTTATGGATTATTATTATTTTTTGTCCTTTTTTGATCCTTTTCCTGTGGTTGCTTTCAGTCTCTCTGCTTTAAGTTTTGTCTTCATTCAGAAAAAATCATGCTCTGTTGGGTTGAAATCAAGTGACGGTCTTTGCTTTAATATCTCATTTTACTGTCATGACAATTCTTGGGTTGCTTTTGCTTTCACCTCTTACCCATGTGTGAAGCTGAGCAGAGGGTGTAGCCAATCAGTTATCACTTCTATCACAAACTGTTTTACTCCTTCCACATAATTTTCTTTTCCAATCATTTTGATACAAATTAGTCTTCATCAAAGATTTTTCTCTAAAACTGGGCGTCGCCTTCAGATGTTTTTAGTCAAGTCTAATCTGACCTAATCTCACCTTGTTGTAAATCCCCACGATTTCATCTGTATTTCTATGTATTTCATCTCTAGCTTGTAGACTTGATAGACTTGATGACAATGACAATGACAAAGGGTTTTTTCTTAACCACGACTATAATTTACAGTTATTGATTTTATCTTTTTTTCAATGGTCTTTTGGTGTTGCCACATTTTTTCCTTTTTAAGATTCATTTTGGTTTTTTAGCCAAATCATGGCCTCTTTTTCTGGCATCATCATGTTTTGGAATCTCAGATTGAGACTTCCATTTAGCAGCTACCTTTTATCTAATACATTTGTCATAGAATATCAAGTGAACAGGATTTCTTTGACCATTAAACTGCTTGTCAGTCACTGTGCCGTTCATTTTAAGCCTCTGAAAATGAGCGACTAATGGATAAAATTGCTGCAATTTCTAAACTGTTAATATATGAATTACCTTTTTGAAACCCCTTGAATTAAAAATGAAAGTTTGCACTTCAGTCACATCTTAAATCCACTGTGGTGGAGTACAGAGGCAAAATTACAAAAAAAAGCTTATGGATCTAAACATGGGTCATATTTAACGAGATATACAGAAAATCCTAAAATGTGTAAAGTGTCAAGGTTTTTTTTTTTTTTTAATTTGGTCAAACTAGAGGGGAAAGAAAGCTGTGATGTATTGGGACTGTCAACTCTTGGAAACATATCCTTATTAGAGGCATTTCTAATGGAGTGAGTCAGCAGCAAGAAGTTCATTCTGCTGTCGGTCTGTTTTTTTCTCCTGGGTGTCTGGGAGGATTTTTGTCTCCCTGATGTTTGGATTGCAAAATTTGTCCACATATATAAATTATAGTCACAGAGAATGTCTCTGCTTCAGTAAGCCTCACATTTATAAATGCAAGCTCTTTCATTTTCAGTTTCACAAAATTGACATGAACACACACAAACTCAAGGTTTCATTGGTAAATAGTAAATGAAATATTGTTAAATTCAAAATGCTGGCAGATATTAATTTAATGCCATTGTTATTTTTAAGTGTCCAATAAAAAAAAGGCATAAAAAAGCCAAATTATCAGCTGTTCTCTGAAAAAACAATAACAGTTGAGCCTTCACTGTGATGCATTATAAATAGCATACTACTGTGTATTTATAGATTAGTAAAAATGGGAAGAAAGCATTAAATCATATAGATCCTGGAAGTGTTCCAGAATCATTTCATCTATATTTCTTCTTTTTCACAGGTCGTTTCATGATAGATTTATTGCCACGGTGCTATGACACAAAAGCCATTAGTTGATCGTTTGTTACTGCAACTCTGTGCAGAGCAAATGAAGCATGTAATTGGCATTGTCTATACGATATAGCAGCAGGCTCTGTTGTTAAATAAGTTCATTTTGCAGCATCTGCACATTTTTCATGAGGTCAAGTTTACCTTTTGTAAAGTGAGCACGTAACAAGCCAGAACATCAACGTTTTCTTCTGTAGAGCACGTCTTCACTGAAGCCAGAAGAAAGATAAATCTAGCTTAATAGCAAGTATGCACAGTTATGCTTGTACAGTAGAAAAAT